TTGATGGATATCTACAACCCAAATCTTCTAATGAGAAGGACAAATTCTTAACTACAAATCTATTATTGACCGCTGATGTTTTAGTATCCTATGCAACCTTTGGTCTTAATCAATCAGTAAATGTCCATATGGTGAGTGTATCGCAAATGACGCACAACTACACTATTAATGACACTATCGCTCTTAACCAACAGTTGGTTACCTCCTACAAACAGCTGGGCAAAATCGACAATCAGCTGATTAAGTTCTACCAACAGTATGTTGACTTCACCAAGCAATCGATTAAGTTCTACCGGCAATTACTTGAAGATGACAAACAACTGACTAATTTCTGTCAACAATTAACCCAATTCAACAATCAACTGTCTGCACTCTACCAGCCACCCAGAACCTTTAACTTGTTTACCACCCCCAACCCCGGCAAAGACCTATCCAACTTTTCTATCATAGCCCAATCTGCGCATTGGAAGTGTGTGATAAAACAATGTGGCTGTTCCAAAGACCCTTGCTCATGGCCATTCTCTAACCTAATATCCGCAAAATACATCAGACCCACACCCAGACGTCCCCATTAATCAACCTCTAGCGAATAAAGACCATTCTCAGCCATTAGTGTTTATTTAAGTCCCAGCAAAGCATAGATACAAGTTTAGCACTCTACATATCCCAAACTCAATCCCAATCCCAAACTCAATCTCAACTTAACCCAACACAATCTCAAACCAATCTTAACTTAACCCAACTTAACCCAACTTAACCCAACCTAATCTTAACTTAATAGTGCCAACACTTTTGATTGATCTCTTTCTTCTAGGAAAACTACCAATGAGCATTAAAAAGATATCTCAACCCAATACTAACCCAATGTCTTACTTTAAATACTGTACTTTAACCCCACCCCACCCCAACTCAACCTAACTACCTCAATCCAACTTAACCTAACCCATCTCAACTCAATACTTAAACCTACTCATTAATTTACCCATGGTTTTTGTTTATACTGCTACAGACGGGTTAGTAGGCTTAGGCCCTGGATTAGTCCATTGGGGGGTTCTTCTTTTGCCGCGTATGGTTTGTGGTTGGGGACTTTTAGCTGGAACTCGATTGGAAAACTTACCAGAAACAGGTCTTTTCCTTATTTATATCTTATTGTTACGTATCATAGGTATTCTACCTTCACCTTTACTGGCAGCTATCACAGCCGGTCTTTTCTTTAGTGGCGCAGCCATTACTACCCAACTTAGAAAGGGTTTACTTTGGGAAGTCTTAGCTATTCTAGCCAGTGCAGCTGATGGCTGGCTAGTTTGTTGCTTAGCCCAAAGTACAACTCCTTTTAATCTACTTAGTACAGGTCTAGCCTCATTCTTAGTTCTAGTCCTTATTGGTCATCGACCAGGAGTAAGAGCTGCTCTAACTAAAGATTTAGGACTAGCTGTTTTAGGATTCCTACACCAACTACAAGTACATATACCCTACCACAACTACATACTAGTACTTATAACTCTCATCTCAGGCTTTTACTTTACCTACCACGCCCATACACATCCCCACTCCACCCCAAGTAAGTCTAAGTCTAAATCTACTACTAAATCCAAGTCTTCTACTACTAAGTCCACCAAAGCAACCAAAGCAGATACCAAAGCCAAGTCAACCAAAGCAACCAAAGCAACCAAAGCAGATACCAAAACCAAGTCCACTAGTAAATCCCGAGCACATTCCGATGACCAAACAAAAGATACGTCTTCATCTACTTCTAACTCATCTACTTCTAACTCATCTACTACTAACTCATCTACTTCTAGCTCATCTACTAACTCATCTTCTACTTCTACTCCTAGAAAGCGGCCTGTACGTCGTGCTGCACGCCAGGCTCGCTCTACTTAACTCCACTCCACTCAATTCCACCCATCTTAACATTAAACGCAATACACAACTTAGTTTACATCATATTTATTACTAACTCAATCTATTACTAACTTAATACTAATCTAAACCCAACTCAACTCAATCTATTACCCACCTAATCTAACTCAACTCAATCTAATCTAAACTCAAACTAATACTAACTCAAACTCAATCTAATCTAAACCCAATCTAAATCTAAACTCAACTCAACTCAATACAAACTCAAACCCAACCCACCCCAACTCAAACACAACTCAAACCCATTAAAGACCTTCCTTGTTACAAGCACTAGTACCTTTTATTAGACAAATATAGCTAAGTTAAAATAAAGATGACGTCATAGCAATACAATCTAAAACTAAATCAAAAACTTAATACAACTTAATACAATCTAATCTAAACACCAAACTAAACCCAAATAAACTTAATAAATCGCTATCTCTTTATTCTTAGTTAACTTTCTTAAAGCCAATATCCAAAGCATACTCCCGGAAGCACCTCCTGCACATGTATAAGTTATACGTTCTAATTAGTCCTCGGTGGTTTGAACAGGACCGACACTCTCTTGATCCTTTTCCTTTGGGCTCTGAACTCTTCTCGGCAATTGGGAGACTCATAATGTCTTTTATTACACGACTTTCCATCAAGGGTGTTAAAAATAAAACAAAAAAGGCTGCGAAACAGTTGTGTCTTTAATTCGAGTTTGAATGGTTTGCAGGGGGTTGAATTTGGGGAGATAAGCCTTTTTTATCTTTTAGGAATATTTTGATTTCCTTTTGAAGTCTTAGATAGAGATAGTAGAGAAAACATAGGAAAAGTGTGACTAGTAGCCAGATAGCGAACTCTTCGGCATAGAGTGTTTGAGTGGGATCGAGTGAGAGTAGTTTTAAGAGGGGATGGACGCTTAGTTGAGTAGGTAGGTGGGAGGAGAAGGGCTCTGTTCTTATGGTGAATGTTTCAAACATAGTCGGATGTACAAACACCAATATATGCACATTAGGAAAGATTAGCTAGGGGTAGGAAAGGGGAGGTAGAGACAGGATAAGGAGAGAAGTGGATGACCTCATATTCATTTTTATTTTGTAGCCCTCATGGTGAGTTTGGATTCAGAGTTAGATATCGTTATATCAGATGAGCGCGAGATAGAAGAGTTGGGTCGGAGTTTGGTTTCGGGCAAGTGTGGGGTAGGTATGGGTTGGGAGTGTCTTAGTTTAGTTAAATTAGGGTTTGGAGGGGGGTTTAATGGGAATATTGTGACTAGTAATGGGAAGGGACTAGTACCTAGCTTTAAGGAAGTCTTTAAAGAAGTCTTTGCCGAACCAGCCAATGAGTTGAGTAAGGGTTTAGATGATGTTTTAGGTAGTAATAGTAATGTTTTAAATAGTAATGGTAATAGTAATGATATAGTTGGTAATGTTTTAGATACTGTTAAGGATAGTAATGATAATAGTATAGTTGGTAATAGTAATAGTAATGATATAGTTGGTAATGGTAATGGTAATAGTAATGATAATGGTAATGGTATAGTTAATAGTAATGATATATTTAGTAATAGTAGTAGTAGTAATGGTATATTTAGTAACGATAATAATGATGATGTTCTAGTTAGTGGTGGGGAGGAAGTGAAGAAGCGGCAACAGTCACTTTCGGAGATGATTGATTGTGGGATGATTCGGACTTTGGTTTCACCTTTGAAGTCGGTGGGTCGACGGAGTCGTGGGGGAAGACGTGGAGGGATGGGAGTTTGTGCTGGTGGGCCGGTGCGGTGGTCGCGTGGGGATGGGAAGAATAAGAACTTGGTCTTTGATCGAGTTCAGAGTTATGACGTGGCTCAAGTACAAGTAAGTAATGAACCAATGGCTTGGGCGGGAGAGACTTACTCTTGTGCTTTGCCTTCAGTAGGAGTGGGGCCGGCTGATGGGATTTTGCGAGTATCTCCGGAAGTAGTAGCTGAGTTATTAAGAAGTGAACAGTCTTTCTTTTTGGTAGATTGTAGGTTTGAATATGAGTTTAGTGGTGGACATATTAGAGGGGCACAGAACATTATGACCATGCGGGGTATTAAGACTTGGTTTCAAAACTTAGTGGCAGCTGAGGAAGGATCAGGAGCGATTTTTGTCTTCTATTGTGAGTACTCATCCGTACGGGCACCTCGTTTAGCTACTCAGTTAAGGAATGAGGATAGATTAAGATCTACTTATCCTTATTTACTCTTCCCAAATGTCTACATTATGTCTGGGGGTTACAAGGAGTTCTACAAGAACTATTCTGAGTTTTGTGTGCCCTGCAGTTACACTCCCATGTAAGAGTTAGGTTAGTATTAATGTAAAATAAACAAGTATAGCATACAATAGAGTTAGTATTAAGTGGGTATTAGTTTAAGATAAGTAGGGTTTAGATTAGATTTGGTATTGGTTTGATTTGATT